TAAATATGTACAGCTGTGAACAAGAAAAATAAAAAGAAAAGAACAATTTTTCATTCCAATAAACTTTCGAGAAAAAGAAGATGGAAATAAGCCACTAAAAATTCTGAAAATTTTAAGCAAAAATTATCAAAGTGATAAATTATTAAAAAACCTTTTAAAAAGAGTATGAAAGTTATTATAACTAAACTCACTCTCCTAATTTTTTATTTGAAAATAATTAAATTTTGAAATTTTAATTAAATTCTTCAATTTTTAATTTTCTAAATTACAAATATTTCCGCAATTTGATAATTTTTAATTTTCTAAAAATTTTCCTCAAAAATACATATCGGAATGAAATATTTTGCTCTGAATTTCTGGAACGAAACAATATTTTTAATAATCGTGTTTTTTTTCATACTTCTTTAAATGTGTGCATAAAATTTGATACCACAGACTTTAAGAAAAATGCATAAATGCACCACCATTTTTTGGTACATTTCGTTTTTTAACTTTTAAAGACGAAATGTAACGAAAACTTTAAGGCACTTTAACACAAGAAAGAAAAAAGTTTTATTAATTCCTGTAAATTGCCAAAAGTTTCACAATTATTTTGCAAAAATCTAAAAAATTTTTCTTACTTTTGCTTTTTTCTTTGCATTAAACTTTTTCAGTCATAATTTCGGCTTTTTTAAGCATAAGTTATTACTTTGAGATTTATGTAGTATATAATTCAAGTAGAACTAATTTCTGTGGTACTACATGAGTGCAATCATTCTATGGCACTACACAAGTACCATTAATTTCTTTACTTATTTACCAGCATTGAGTAAAAGTTGTTTTGAAAATATCTTTTTCTTTATTTTCGTCATTAATTCTGTCTCGCAATTTCATAATAATGTTAAATTTTAATTTTTCAATTTATCATTTAACTTTAGTTCACATTTCTAAACTGCTAGGAAATGAAATATTTTTCACTTTAATATGCTTATGAAATAATTATAGCTACAAAATAGATTTATTAATTTCTTGAATTAATCAAATAGTAATAATTACAGTCAATTCAATACGCATATTATTTTTCAATTAAC